ACTCTAAAATCGATGGAAAACTCTAAAGGTTGGTTCTTAAAGGAAAGATGTAACTCTTTTCCTTTTTTCGAGACGAAAATCCTATTTCATCAATACCTCACTGCATAAGACATATTCCATACCATAGCATGTCCAGCTTGTTTAACTGATTCTTTATTTCACTTTTGTTCCGTTCTTTTCATTCTTCGTACTTACATCCAATTCTGATGAAAGGTAATAATATGCTAAGCAAAACCTGGGTGTCCCTTTTTCTACAGTTCAGCCGTAATTTGTTTAAAAGTTATCAAACATATTTTAAAAAATCCGTAGCATTTGTTCATTTATTAAGTATACAGGTAAAGAGTATGCAAATACAAAATGTGTCTCTTTTATTTAAATGTTTGACAAATAGTTGGCATGTTTAAACAAGTTATAATCGCAATATAGCAATGAATGTATCACAGCCGTGCAAAGAATGTCTAATTCTAATCCAGATCGAGCAATCAACTTAGATAACATAGATCAATTATCTGTAGGGGGTCAATCGATGCACAGTTTAAAAATAATCCATAGTTTGCACAATATCAACAATAGTATAATTTACATTTCAAGCATGCTGAATCAAAAGCTTTAACCTTTCATCAGTAATTTTATACAGTAAATTTTCCTTGTTTGGAATTCTAATAATTTCGAGTCACATGTTAGTGAAAATTAGTGCAGCCAGCAATGCATGTGTATTAATCCGGGTAAGCTAAAACTTTTTTTTTCAGGCTTATTTTTCGAATTTGTTCACTCATCTATAAGAGCAAAGTTTTGAAATTCGATGGATACATGCTTCATGAATGATAAAGACTCATTCAGTGTATAAATAACAGAATTGTATCATATCTCATGTAAAAGATGCAAAGTCAATGAGACAACCGTGTTACATTTTTTAATGCTAGAAAGTAACCATTTTCTAAAAAGGCATCTTTACTTTTGGAAAGGTTTTCCATTATTTCCATGACATCGATAACCTATCTTTACAAAACCTGAATTTCGTGAAACTAAGTAAGCCTGGCAAAGACTAATAAAGGAAAGTTAATCATTTCCCATGTATATGAATAACTAAATGTTAAAAGAAAATTGCAAATTCATAAGAAGTATTTGCCTATGACCTTTCATTATTTTATTTAAACTTTGTAGTAAATTATATAACGGATACAAAATGATGATGATGTTATTCGCAAGCACTTTTTACAATTATGTTAACACATATATTTCACTTTGAAAATCCACTGAATCTCCCTTACATTTTTACCAGCTTCTTATCTAGGGCAAATTTTTACGGTGTTCGTTTAACCACAAATCAGTTTCTGGTTCCCAAAATCAATCACTGAATGACCATTACTTCTAAGTTGAAATAATTAAGTCGTGTTCCGTGCGTATAAATTGTTATTGTTATTTTCATTAAGTTCGATTCACGTATTCGACAACGTTATAACAATAAATCGCTATGTTATATGACAATACAAAGAAAAACAAAACACATGAGCCGCGTCATGACAAAACCAACATAATGGGTTTGCGAACAGCATGGATCCAGACCAGCCTGCGCATCCGCGCAGTCTGATCAGGATCCATGCTGTTCGCTGTCAGTTTCTCTACTTGTAATAGGATTAGTAAGCGTACAGCATGGATCCTGATCAGACTGCGCGGATACGCAGGCTGGTCAGGATCCCTGCTGGTCGCAAACGGACTATGTTGGTTTTGTCATGGCACGGCTCATATACCGTTGAAAGGACATGCCATAATAATGTCGACTGGTGTAACAAAACCTGTAATTGTCTCAAAGAAATGTCTCTGAACACGACAGATTATACCAAGAAAAACAAAAAAAATCCCTGCTTTGCCAATTTAGCCTTAAGTAGCTTTACTCATTACGTATAATGAAAAAAACCACAAGGAAACGAGTTTCCGTGTGGCAAGCAAATATATTAGCAATTAATGATGTTAGTCCATTGCTAAGCTACGTTTTCCAATCATATGTAAATTTTGAAACATTTTCGTGACGACGTAATTTCTTTTGTAGGTTGAACGATGTGATATTTATATATGGCAAAGCAGGGATTTTTTTTTTGTCTAGAGAAACAAATAGCGAACAGCATGGATCCTGATCAGACTGCGCGGATGCGCAGGCTGGTCTGGATCAATGCTGGTCGCAAACGCACTATGTTGGTTTTGTCGTGACGCGGCTCATATTACTTTGATTATATACTTCTGAATATTTGCTGGTTCAAAATCTTTCACAGATAATGATCTATGTCAACAGTATAGATAAAGGTCAGTCTGTATTATAATGTAACATTTCCACATTGATATCCTTCAACTGCATCACAAATTGTTTTGAAGGGCAATGGATAAAAAGTTTAGCTTTTACGGAGTCTTTATAAAACTGATATCAACCTGTGGTTTTTTACATCCAAGACACATATTTTCCTTGAGGAGAGAACACGAGAGTGCACAGGAGAAAAAAAACTTATATTTCTGAGTACTGTTAGAATATACGTCAATGCTGACTCGATCTTTGCATGTTTTATACTCCTATATACCATTCTATAGCATCGTATCTAATTCTATCTAGTCGTATCTTATCGTATTTTTTATCATACCATTCCTTTCCGTACAGTAGTAGTATTGTCCCTATCGTACCGTATCGTATCTAATTAATTTATTCCACCGTAACGTATCGTATTGCATGAAATCATCTTGATCATTATGATTTTATTTTAATTGTTTATTAAACAAACTATTTTTGGTGTATATGCAATGCAGCATTAATCACCGAGTTATACCCATATACCAAACAAAATCGCCATTTACAATGCAAAGTGACAGCAAAAGCTGCTTTCTTTACATGGGTAAAAATAAAAATAAAAACTATCAAATCAGATATGCAAATATAAACTTGTACCGTAGAAGAGGCTATTTGCTAATGATAGTCTGCAAATGTACAATACTGTTTTCACATATCAAGATTATATGAGACAAGCTGTATGAATAAACAGCTGTAGACTTGTTTGTATCATACATTTTTGATGACGTATTGATTGTAAAATGTACGAGTCGGTAATAAAGATACCAGTCTAGAATAATCAATGCAAATTGATACTCTGTATATTTTATTCGTCACAAGAACGCATGATTTGTCGTTGTTTATTCATGAGTTAAGTGGTGCAAAATCAACAAATACTATAAGATCTACCTAGCTATAATAGACATTGAGCTTTGATGAAAGAAGTGCTTACGAAAACGGTAATATTCTTACAAACAGCCTGATTAACGATGATAATTAAATTATCGTTATGATAATATTATGATTTTATCAAATTTTAATAATATTATAATATTCATTGTTATTGTCGTCATCGTCATCAAATGTGAAAGATCTCATTTTCGTTTGCGGCAATTATTATACGAACTACTATTGTCGTATCCGGTTTTTTTTCTAATACCCATGATTGAGGAGTGACAATGAAATCTGTCATAAAGTGCTTTAAATAGAATTGAACATGCTATCTATAAAAAAGAAATAATAGATGTTTCAAAAGTGTGGGAGAAGCGTTAAATTGGAAGTGTAAGAATCCTTTTGTTAGACATCTCCATCAAATTAAGCTACTGAGTTCGTGACCTTTAAAAGAATAATGCGAATCAACGTGTAAATAACACATATATATTTACATTCGATATTTATACTTGGTTGTTATATTCTTTATGATATAAACCGCGGCGCAAGAGTGTAATAACGTCATTTAACAAAATTACACTAGTGTAATAACACTTTGACGTTACGTCATTTGCGTTATATAATAACAATACAATAAATTTAGTATTAAATCTACAGTCATTAAATATCCTCAATTAATCATATAAACCGCGGCGCAAGAGTGTAATAAAATCATTTAATAAAAACGATATTACACTAAAGTGTAATAACACTGGCGTGACGTCAATATCGTAAAAGCACGCTCCTGATAGCGTTACACTATAAGCGCGTCAATATAAAATGACCCTTTTTAAAAGTTTACCGTTCTTAATTTTAAACAAGCGATAAATCAAATATTATATTCATGTAGATTCAATAATAAATTTATCAAACAAGTGGAATAAAACAATATTATGCTCATAAGAGGCTCGCATAATATGGTTTTATTCAACAAGCTCAATAAATTAAACCTGCACCCATTCAATATTCTCTATGTACATGTACATGTATTTAAAAGGAGTGTATCGATTCTCCGACGGAGATCCAACAAATTCTAATTGATACAAATACTGTAGAATAAGTCATTCTAACAGAATCAATGTATAATACCATATCAAATTTCATATTGCATTGTCACTTACCACTATAGAGAATTAGAAAAAAATAACGTTATTAATATTCGTTTTTACCACCTATGTTTGAGACGAAAAACGAGAGAAATTTGATCATATACAAACTAACAAGAAAGGATAAAGTAATATGAGGATGATCATTGTTGAATTTCACACAATTGAGTATTAATCGTGCTATGTTTAAAGTTCAAACAGCGGTAAAACACTTCATATATCTTACTTTAAGAAAATATAACCGCATGATTTCATAACAGCATGACAGGTGATGCTTTTGTCAGTGTATAGCGCCCAACCAGCAGGTGCAATTAAGCAGCCAAATCAATGTCAATTTCGGCTATTTTGTCCAGAGACTATATCATTCCAATAACAATTAGGCCATATAAGGTACAACCTGTCACCTTATATGGAATAGCACGAGGACAAACGTCATGAATAATTCATTTTAAAAATAGCCTTTTAATATTTTATTATTTTTGCATCCTCGACGCATAATTAAAACGCTTATTTTGAACCTATTACCACGCAACATGCAGGTTAAATTTAGCCTTGATAGATCTAACGCATATATACAAACGACTAAACCATTCTTGTCAATTTGGAAATATTAGATAAGATTTCTAAAGACTTTGTAATAACTAACTTACCTTATTCTTTTGTTTTCTTCATCCTTCATTTCTTTCGCTCTTCCAATGACCTCGCGTATTTTGGCAACTTCATCCGGTGATAAGTGACTTAGATCCGGTTCCGGTGGGTCCATGGGAGATGGTATCCGCATAGACCCTAGTGAAGATCTCCTTCCGGCACGTGAGCCGTAAGAGTAAATAGACTGCCAGTCTGAAACCTGGCTCTCGGTATCAGACGGCAGACTCCCTTCGTTTCCCATGTTCACAAGGAAATTTAAAATTTGAACCAGGGACCAGTCACATACATGTACACTGAATATATAAATCCAAAGGCACAAGCAAACGATAAATAAAAATGAGCTCACAAATACGTGGTAAAGTGCGGTAACCAAACATGGTGGTTGATTCCGATTTCCAAATAAAACTAAGGTGAACATAGACATTTAATATATTGCATCAGCGATTTTTGGTGTCTGCTACAGACAAAAACAAATAAAAGCAATCAGATCTTGCGGAAAGAATGCGGCGTAATGCGGGCATATTAACAAACAATATTATATTGATGCATAAAACATTTCTTGGAAATAGGTTGGCTGCAATGCTATTATATATCCATTCACGCAATCCACACACAAGAAAAACAAATATTGAATTTTTACAATTCAGCTTACTCCATACCAGGACACTACAACCAAAAACATCCGCGATTCCTATTGATCAGGCGAGCAGGGGGACTTATATTTTTAAAAAGCACCTCACTTATACACTATCATGACCTCCTGCATTAAAACTTTTCACTTTCATACTGATTTATCCATTTCTATAATTATGTATAACGACAGGAGACAAACAGACTAAACATATCACACGAGTCTTGGAATCCTTATTGGAAAATGAACATGCTTAGTTTTCCAACCAAACAAGCTATAGATAGATCGATTTTCCTGTTCTTCTGCTGGCACTGTGTAAGAGAGTTGTATCAGTTAAATCTGCCCATGAATCGATTGGGTCTTTGAGCGTTCCTGGTTTTTCAATAGAGATGAGAGGGCTTGCAGTCACTACCACTAGAGGGAATCTATTTCTTTTAATCGATACGGACAATCGACTTAATGGCGACTACATAATGGCGCGCGATTGCGCAATAAACAGCTTCTAAGTAGAGTATGCGTTTGATAATCAAAGCGTACTGGCATTTTTGGTACGCAGACTGTAAAAACGTCAAATTACTATCGACTTCCGGTAATTTCAGAGAATTTGGGTGAAAGAGGTGATTTTTGTTTGCTGTATACAGTAAAAAATAGATCGGTCAATATCTGTTGCACACAATAAGCGTCTAATGTTTAAATGCTGTTGAAATAAAAAGAGGCACGGTTTATCTGAACATGAACATTATTGATGTCGAGTAATGGGTTAAAATAAGCTTAAACGAGTCTTTCATCTATTTTCACGACGAGAAAAAAGTGTGTGGCCGCAACACGCAATAAATATCGGATGATTATATTCAGATGTTTTATCTTTAATGACGTATACCAAACGATTGTGCAGTTTGTATCTATTTATTTATTTTTCATCTTAAGCTACTTAATTTAAATCACGGGTGACTATCTTAAACAGGCATAGTAACATTACGATGAACGCGATTTAATTCATCGAATAAAAACGCATGGATTAACATATATATACCACTTCCGATGGCATGAACAAACGCAAACAACGTAATTTCAATCAAGGGTTAAAACAGACTTTATCCAATTAAAATATTTTAAAACGGTGAAATTATTTCGTATGGTCGATTCTCGGAAAAGTTTCTGTTATTTAACACGTATGGAAATTCTGTGTCAACTGAATTAAATGTTCGAAACCTAATATTATGTAGCTATTCATCGTCGAATACCCACGGTTGATTGACATAAGTAACATGACTTAACATGTAATTTCATGAATTTTAATGGTTCGGCCGAGGGTATCCGAAGATATCAGCTATTTTACTTATTTTATTAAGGATTTTAACCGTTCAGCAACAAGTTCGTCCTTCTGTCATTTACTTGAAAGGAAATATATAGTACTAACACATGTCATTCATACAAACATTTTAAAACTGTTCTTTTTCAAAATCCAAACTTTTTTCCTTTTTTTTTGTAAACTGCAGACAGCTGAGATAGAGCTTTTTATAGACTTTAACACGTTTGTAGCCCAGTCCTCACAAAAAGAGAATAGCAGGGATTCAAGCTCGCTTTGTAGGGAAAGTGAGATAGTAAAATCATCGCATAATTAATTCAAAAATGAAAGGAACTCTGACGAGATTTTTTAAAGATTTATTTTTGTATAAAAATTTTACATTTTAGAGAATAAAAGTAAAATAGCATATAAATTGAAGAATTACATAAAACAAATTAGTAACAATGACCTTTTTAAAGAATGAACAATGGTATATATAGCCTACATAAAAATACTTATAATTTCAAACTTAAAAAAAAGGAATGTAACCATGGAATTGACAAAGCGTCAATTAAATAAACCTAGCAACGTATTTTTGAGAGATATTCCAATTTCTATTAAGAAATATCGAAGGTCTGTAAAAACCAAAATCTTTTTATGTCATGCCAAATAAATATACATGTAGCTAGGTCTAAATAACTGACACATGCGATCTTTTTCACCTTTTTCAAACTAAAATAAAAACAATAAAACTGGCAAGCTTAGTTATAGATTTAACAGTATATAAAAACTACAGGACTACTTTAATCATAAAACAATACATTTTTTTTGAAAAACTGTTCCAGAGAGACCTCAGGTACCCTTCCGTGCATTATTTCGGACCTGAGTAGAACCACCGACGTTTCGTAAGCCAGCTGGATATCTTCTTCACATGAACGAATGCAAATTCGGTGTCTGGATTAGAACCCACAGCGGTGAGGGTCAAGTGATTTGAAGTCAACGACTTTTACCACACGCCACAGACGCCCTTCACTTATTGTAAGTGAAAACATATATTGACCATAATTATGACATCACATGCCTCAAAACACGGATTTATGCCATATAAATCCGTGCTCAAAATAAATGATAAAACTAGAAATGTGTCATCATGCCACGGATGCCCCCGCATGCAGCCAAAATTTCAAATGTTATAATATTTAGTTCCAAATTTGTTTGCACAAAAAAAAATTATTTTTTTCATTCTAAGTTCAAAGCCCTTAAAACTTTTCAATGTTAACACAAACCATTTTTATACAATGTTCAAGGCACTGAAATTATTCAGTCTTAACCTTTTAAAAATAGCATATTGCATATTTGTAGCCAACATAATGCTATATACATTCCACAAAAGTATGAGTGCTGAAACTGAAAGTTCAAAATTTTTCCAACATTCAGGAAAGATAAGTTTGTCTAAAATCATTGAACCATGACCAAAAATTCAAACCTTAAACTGCTTATTCCTAAGATGTATCTAATTTATTTTCAAAAGTGAAAGGGACATAACTCTGCCAAAAAATCATCGAACCATGACCAAATTCCAACTTGACCTGCGCATTCCTTTGACATATCCATATGTCAATTTTGAGTGAAGATGTAACACTGTTTGGGTTGATTAATGAACAGAAACTATAAATTTCATTATTTCATTTTCAAAGTGAAAGGGGCATTACTCTGCCAAAAATCATTTGAACCATGACCAAATTTTGTAAGATTCCCTGTGCATTCCAAAACATATCCATATGTCAAATTTGGTTGAATGTTTAATACTGTTGGGGAGTATAATAAACGGAAACTGAAAATTTCATATTATTTTCAAAGTAAAAGGGGCATAACTCTGCCAAAAAATCATCGACCATGACCCAAATTTGAAACTTGACCTGCGCATTCGTTTTGACGTAATTGATATGTCAAGTTTGAGCTGAATGTGTTGTACGATTGGGAGATAATGAACGGAAACTGAAAATTTCATATTATTTTTCAAAGTGAAAGGGCATAAACTCTGCCAAAAATCATCGAACCATGACCAAATTTGAACTTGACCTGCGCATTCCTTTGACATGTAATCCATATGTCAAGTTTGAGTTGAATGTGTTGTACCATTGGGGAGTTAATGAACGGAACTGAAAATTTCATATTATTTTCCCAAAGTAAAAGGGGCATAACTCTGCCAAAAATCATCGAACTATGACAAATTTGAACTTGACCTGATTTTCTCATACATATCGATATGCCAAAGTTTGAGTTGAATGTTGGTTGTACCGTTGGGGAAATAATGAACGGAAACTGAAAATTTCATATTATTTCCAAAGTAAAGGGGCATAACTCTGCCAAAAATCATCGAACCATGACCAAATCTCGACTTGTTGACCTGTATTTTCTATGACATATCCATATATCAATTTTGAGTTGAATGTTTGTTACCGTTGTGGAGATAATGAACGGTAACCTGGAAAGATTTCATATTATTTTCAATGTAAAAAGGGGCATAACTCTGCCAAAAATCATCGACGAACCATGACCAATTTTTCGAACTTGACCTGTATTTCTCATGACATATCCATTATGTCCAAATTTGAGTTCAATATGTGCAACGGTTATTAAGATAATGAACGGAAACTGATGATGACGGAAGGACGGAAGGACGGAATGACGGAATGACGGAACAGGGTAACACTATATGCCCCTGCCATTATATGGCGGGGGCATAAAAAATCATTACATATAAAACACTGCACCAATATAGTTTGTGTCATGCCTATAATTGTGTAGAACTTATTCTTAAAATCAGTTTTTATTAAATATATTTAAACAATATCAGCATTTATATATAAAAAAAAACTTTACTTATCAGCTCTAGACTATACCTCTTAAATAGAACATGCTGCTGAGCTAAAAACAAGCATTTCTGACACATCATAGTGTATAAATCTTAAAGATATACTATAAGCTCATCTTTATGTAAAATACTTTACTGCAGAAATTTATAAAAATATAGGAAATTCTTACTAAATATGTCTAATTTGAATAAGAGAATGTATTAAATATGTTTGAAAAGCTGCATTTCCTATGGCTAGTCAAAATATTTTATATACTTTAGGTCTTTTCTTAAACAAATCTGCCAGTTTTTTAATGACAAACTGTGTTTACCTATGTTATGTAGTGTTTAAAACATAACATATCTTCTGTATGTGTGTGTGTTGTCTAAAGATATTTATTTTAAAATGAAAAAAAACTATAGAAATTATCAGTATTTTCATCAAATACTAGTATCAAATTTCAACATAATATATCTTTAAAATAGCTATTTATCTGTCAATTTCTGACCAAAGCAGAATAGACTCTATCTAACAAAATACAAATGAACAACAATAAACTAGAGAAGTTATATATTAAATGACTTAAAATGACTATATACTGTAGACATATAATAAGTATACCATATAAAAATGTAAACTACAGGAAAAATTTCCAATAAAAAGAATTAACCATGTATATATAATTTCTGCACATACCTGTATATAATAATATATAATAACTGTGTAATATGCAACAGTCGTATTTATTCCAATTAATGCCGATGAAAATTAAAAACAGGGAACTTATTGAAGATACAAGCTTAATCAGCTTAATCTACATGTTTTTGTTTGTTTGTTTTTAAGTTTTATAACAAAAAGTTGTGTCCATTTTTTGAGGTTGTTGGTTCCACATAATATAATTAGAAATCTCTTAATAAAACTTATTAACAACTAAAAACTTACCACCAATACGGTCACTAATTAGAATAAATACGGCATTTTATACTTGCTCTACATTATACATTAAATACCAGAAATGATGTACATGCATGACCCTCAATAAACAACTAAAATCTGCACCAAAAGATGAAATCAACACAAATACAACATCTAAAGAAATTAAAAAAAAGAAATATCA